CGCCAGCCCGACGAGTCTCCAGGAACGTCGGGTCATCTAAAAGGGTCAAAAAGGAGTATCTCCCCTCGAGTTCACCACTTAGGCGACTTAGGCCATCAAGAAGAGGCCGAGCGCATACACGAACAAAAGACTTGGAAAAGTTGCCAGCAAAGTCACAACCACTTACGGGCGCTCCTCGGGCCCATAACTTAGGCCAATTTTTACGCAAAAACATAAAACGAGAAGCACGGGCAAATAATCAAAATTGAAACAAAGCATTCATTCAAAAATGCCCGTAGGCAACAAAGCAAATAAAATGTAAAGCGACCAAAAAGGCCGACAATATTCAGGAATACAAAGAACGGGCGCGCAGGCCCAAAAGAATGTGAACGGGCACGCAGGCCCAAAACAAACATCAACGAGGCACGCAGGCCCCACCACTATCTCACACTTCGGCTTCCCCCGAGCTACCATCACCAACAACAGGAGAGTCAGGCGGAGGCACGACCTGACCGTCGATAATCTGCGACATATGGCTCACCCCCTCGGTGTTCAAGCCGGGATTTAACAAGGAAAGTTGGCTGACCGCGGCTTCGAAGCCGTCCACCATAGCCCCGACACAGTCCCCCTCGAGAAGTTGAATACGATCGACCAGTTCCGATCGACTCCTCAGAAGGGTTGTGTCCTCCGATTCATCCTCGGCAAGAAGCATAACAGCTTTTAGATCCTCGACCTCCTTGGCAAGGCGTCCGTTGTCGAGTTCTAGTCGTTCACGATCCGCACGAAGGAGATCCCTCTCCTCGGCCAGTTTCCCGGAGCTCTCTCTCTCCAAAGTCAGCGCCTCCGTCTCCGCCATCAGCAGCTCAGCCTGCTCGCGGAACATCTCCTCGGAGCGCTCCAGGGCAGCTTTCAGCTTTCTCGAAGTCGAGGTGAGGGCAACTTTCTCCTGCTCCAACTCCTTGACGCGGTCAGCATCCTCCCCCTCCTCGGCCAGCACAACGGCCATTTCGACCATCTTCACCAGCCCGGCCATGTTGGCGGCCAGGTGTCTTCTTCGGCTTTCCTTGTTCATTCGACGGATGGTTTCAGCTTCGTCGGGATTCACAGATAAAGGAAACCCCTCGAAGAAACCCTCCTCCTTAAAGCAAGGGGGCAACCCGAAAGACCTCACAGCACTGGAGTCCTCGCAGACTTCCGGCTGACTTTCCACCCGATTCCTTTTTCTCTATATCAGGTCGGTGTGTGGCTCGACCTCCTGAACATCCGGAGTCCCTCCTGAAGCAGCCCCCGAGCTAGGCGGCGAATCCACCCTCGTCTCCTGAGATATGCTCGGGCTATATGGCGGGCCCATTCTCGTCGCCTGAGGAGGTTTCACCACCCTTTTAGTCACCTTCCTGTCACAAGACAGCTTCAAGAGCCTCTCCCTTCGTCCAGCCATCGAACCTGCACGAAAAAACCCGGGTTAGTGCCGAGCAAATAAGCAAACAAATGATAAGAAATTCAAACAATAAACGACCTAGCAAACGCGCAGCCTGCCCGAAGGACTGGCACTCCACGAGTGCCTTCGTGTCGATCGGTCGATCCTCGAAGGTCAGATAACCTTCATCGTCCAGAATATCCTCCCCCTCCCTCGTGGCCCATCTGACGGGGTGGAAGCTATCAACATACCTACAAAGAGTGTCGTAAGCCTTCTCGTCCTCGGAGCTCATATCGCCCGTGGACGTATGGTAATACCCGGTACCGTGCTCGTAATGTCTCGAGATCCAATGCACGGGAAACTTGGCCATGCGCCCTAACACCGGACGTCCTTCGCCGTCCAAAAGGGCCTCCCCGTCGTCGTCGGTTATGACCGCTTCGTCCTTGTACACGGACTCTAAACCTGCTGTGGTTACGGGCCTCACAACATACCATTTGTCTTTAAAACCCCGCACGGAGTCCATGTACATCCTGAAAAGTCTCTTCGACTGTTTCAGGGAAACCCAGCTGTGCTTTCCACCCCGAGATTGGCGATGTAGGTGGAAGACCCTGAAGAAGAGAGGTATGGTCGCCCCGATCCTCAGAAAACGGCAAGTTAACTCAAACGCCCGGATAAACGCGAGCAAGTTCGGATGAAGTTGTGATGGGGCCAGCCCCAAATGGCTAAAGACCCCGACCCGGAAATCGTTGAAAGGCAGTTGTAACCCAAGGTCTTTAAAAGCAATTTCGTACATAGGGAAACTGTACTCGGGGAACACCGAGCAAATTCGAGCAGTAAAAGATGGCCGAGTGACCACGAAATTCTTCTGGAAGTCGGGCTGGTCGTGGCCTGTCTCGAGGATAGTGTAGGCCCTACGGCTGCGCCGACTATAAACTGAAGCTATCCCTCTAGGTTCGGCACCCACCCATTCCAGCAAGGGGTCATCTATGGTGTCGACCAAACTGACATTCTCGTCAACACTTTGTCCTTCCATCTCGAGCCGTCCTGAAGAGCAAGGTTCGTCCGCCATGGTTACCTACAAAGCACGGGGAAACCAATCAATTGGGCGCGAAACCACACGCTCGCCACAACGGACGAGATGAAGGGCACGACAAACCACGGCGTTCCGCGCGCGACTGCATAGTTGGTGTTTTGGAACAAAATACAGCAGCCATCTCCCCGACTCCCATATACCTCGATAGGTCCTTCTACAAGTCGACCAAATGAACCGACAACTCGGTCACTCATGAACACGTCGACCCGGGATATGAACATGGCGAGCAAAATCATAAAGCCTAGTGCTAGAACTATGCATTTACCGGGCACAATCATGAATTAGGCGCCCTGAATCATGAAGACCCCGGGAAGCACTGCAGATTAAACCCTAAACTAGGCATTCACCGGGCACGAGCATGCGTTTACCGGACATACGCGTGGGTTTGACGAGCTAAACATGAATTTACCGGGCTAATCCTAGGCTTACGGTCTAAACGTCTAAAAATGAAGACAAATCATGCATCACAACAGAAAAACAGAGGAGACAAGTCACTTACTTGGAATCAAGAAGTAGATTTGACGGCGGAGGAAAGGAATCGATGACGGAGATCGCGGCGGCGCTATGAGAATCTGGGAAGAACAACAACAGCAAAAACAAAGCGAAGAGGAGAAGCGCGAAGAGTAGAAACACGTTCTGGGGCCCAAGGATCCTATTTATAGTGATGACGTGGAATACCAAACGTCACCTCGGGCAAACACAGATTCCCCTCCTCGACGCGCAGCTCCCCTAGGCAATGATGACCCTATCCTCATAGGGTGGCGGCACGGTTCCCAAAAGAGACCTCGCGTGCTCGACAGGCGCGGGCTGTTGAGGAATCCCCGAGCATTCCTCGCAAGGCACCTGTCCCCGAGCACGACACGGGGAAACCCTCGAGTACCCCCACGAGGAGCTGCATCTCTTGCCCGAGTACGGGGCCCCGAGACGGAAGCAACCTAAGATCAAGTCATGGCTCCTAACTCAAGGAACCACGACTTGGGGGGCTCCTGTTCTGGACTGGGCCGGGCTGGCCCAAGAGCAACAATAAAGGCCCAATCCAAACGAACCTGCTAGGAGTCACGCCAACCTAAGGACCATAGCGTGCCCGACATATGTCACTGGGTGACAACCCCGTCCTCGTGCTGCCCAGCTCGACCTCAGCTCGAGCGCTCCTTCGACAGCGGACACGGTCCACTACACTCTCAACGGGACTCCGAAAAGACCGTGTCCCTGTCCGCCTGCACTTCACGCAGAACATCCAGGAAGGGGATCACGTGCGGGTCCCCACTACGCACGTAGAACCTGGCAGTTCCTCCATTGGACCAAACCTGCCCGGCCCAATGAAGGAACCTTGGCCCAGCGCTGGGGGCTATAAATACCCTCTGTTTCCAGAGGGTCGGGTATTCATTCTATCACATATACTCACACTTTTTGTCTGCTCGTACTCTTACTCACTTCAGCATCGGAGTGCCTTGCAGGTACCCCCCCCCCCCCCCACCTCGTTCAAGACTCAACTCAGAGTCAGCCGTGACGGTCCAAGTCTGATCAGGTTAGATCAATATCTATAATAAAAATAAAGATCAAAGATTATCTCTTGCTCTTAACATGTGAATTATTTTAATACTCTAGATCGAGTATAATAGATTTAAAATAAATTGCATCTTGATCAATTAAACCTTTGACGATTCAAAACATAAACCAACATATTGAGAGTAAGAAAAAAAAAATCATTTTGAACTCTCAAATTGTATCTCATAATAGTTAAGTATTAAAATATTAATTTTTCACATTGTAAAAGACTTGCATCGTTAACTACTTTGTTGGTATCTTGTACATAACCTCATGTTATAAAGTTAAAAATAAATTTAAAGCGGGCGGTGTTAAGTCTATACCATAAATCAATATTATGTTTTTATCTTATTGGGATTTATTTTCTAAAATTAAAAATGCTTGTATCCTATTTTGATTTTTACTCTCTAAAATAAAAAATGCTTAAATTTGCTAGAATTAGAGAAGAAGATTACAAGAAAGGCAAATACACACAAAAAATACATTCTGTCAAGAAATATTTGCCAAATATAAAATAAAATAAAAAAGAAAATGATGAGAATCCGATCCTATGCTATCCTAGGTGGTCTATGTTTGTTTATAGTATCTTATCCTGTTGTTACTACTAAGGATAGACAAGTACCAACGGCCACTAACTAACTGTCCCTAAATAAATAAATAGCTTTGTCTATTTTTTTGTTGTTATATTTGTTACTTTTTTCTTCTTCTTTCTCGATTAAGATCGACGAGCGTTTCTTTTTGTTTGTTGGAGTAGGTACAGTTTGTTCCTAGGGCGGTTTTCGCATATCGAAAACCGCTCTACTCGTTAATTTGTTATTACACGCTTCGTCGATCAATCCTAATACACCATGAAAGGTTTTTAGTAATTTTGCAACACATTTCCAACAACAAGTTCAAGTTTTTGTAGAGTTCCCTTCCTCCTCCAATATTTTGATCATAATTGGTGGTGGAAGGGAAATAAAAATGAGTGGAAGAAATAATGGGTTTGATTGGGTGAAGGGTAAAATTGTTGGAAGTGGATCTTTTGGCAGTGTTCATCTAGCCATGGATAAATCAACCGGTGGACTTTTCGTAGCGAAAACAGCGCATTCCAATGCAGAACATGATGCTCTCCAGAACGAGGTGAATATTCTAAATACATTAAAGAATTCATCACCATCATCATCATCGTTGCCATCGCCCTATGTTATTCAATGTTTAGGGACAGAGTATGATCACCAAGATGATAAGCTGCATGTTTTCATGGAGTATATGGCTGGAGGTAGTTTGGCTGACGCGTTACACAAGTTTGGTGGTTCATTCGATGAACATGTTGTTCGTTTGTATACTAGACAGATTTTGCTTGGGTTATATCATCTTCACCAAAATGAAATTGTGCATTGTGACCTCAAATGCAAAAATGTGCTTTTGGCCTCGTCTGGGACAGTTAAGATCGCAGATTTCGGATGTGCAAAAAGGATCAGCAAGGACTCGCACATGAACAACGGGGGAACTCCTCTATGGATGGCTCCTGAAGTTATATTATCGAGGAATGCTAAAGATGAGAGGGTTGTTGATTTTGCAGCAGCAGATATATGGTCTTTGGGATGTACTGTTATTGAAATGGCCACCGGTAGGCCTCCTTGGGTTCATGATGACCTTGTTTCTATTTCAAATCCGATGTCTGCTATGTTTAAGATTGCCTGTGGTGATGGGTTACCTCAATTTCCAAGTCATTTCTCTCATGAAGGTTCCGATTTCTTGAGAAAATGTTTGGTGAGAGATCCCAATAAGAGATCTACTGCTAAGGAATTACTTAACCATCCATTCCTTGTTGCAAATACTTTAACTTATCACAAACACTACTCTAATTCCTCACCAGCAGCTGTCTTGGATGTTCATCAATTCGAGGATGATTATGATGATGATGATGATGAATTGCCAAGTCCAGCAGGGGGGATTAAATTCTCCTTCGGAAATGACTTTGTGTGCCAACAAGGAAAAACAATATGGCAACAGGAAGACAGTGCATCAGGGAATCATTGGATCACTATTAGATCAAGGTGATCAATTAAGTAGGACATGGAGGCTAGATAATTAATTCATGTAGATTGGTACGGGACTCAACATATGTACAGCTTTTGAGTAGGATGCAAATACTTATAGATTTGTTAAAGTTTTGCTTCCTTTTTAGGAATGGTCTTATTAGTACCATCAAATTTGTAGTTAAAGGGTTGAATCGATAGAATCGTGTATCTAGAACTCAATAATTGGTTACCAAATAACAATCATTCTGCTTCTTTATTGTGAACACAGTTGAAGTAAAATAAAGAATCAGTTAACAATTTTTTTTTAATGGAGCAATTGTCATTGCCTGGAATATAAGGTATAAATTTACAATCAAACCGCAAATACTCGTAACATAGATTTAAATGGGATATTTATATTGCACGGGTTTCTTATTATTCTCAACATCAAAATACCGATTATAATGACAGTCTCCCCTAACTATTGACCATGGCAGAAAGACTACAAATAATACAAGCATATGAATAATGAACAAATTTCCTATACATTTTGTACAGAGCAGAATCTTTGTGACAGAATGCAATTTGGCGTTTGCCATTCTAAGAAATTTTACCAAAAGAATAATCTGAAACGACACCCCACTTGAGGAAGGGGGCACTGATATATCACACGACAAAATCCAATAACCCATACTCTCTCACAAACATTTTACAGTACCTCCCATTCATTGAATCACAAATTGCCAGAGCATGCATCATAGATTCCTATTAATAGTAGAAATATCTCTGGCACATTGTAATGAAATGGGTTGCTCCCTAATGCGAGACAGAAGAATGGAAACTTGTTCTGTAGCAACATCTAATCGTTCTTTAGACTTGGCAGATTCTGTAATTAGAGATGAAACCATATTTTGGAATAGCTTAACTCTTTCGGCATGATCACTGGATGCATTTTGAAGAAGCTTCGAAGGCGGCACGCTGATACGACGCCATCGGATGGGAAGATATGTATCCGGGATCTGAAAGCAATTTCCTGTTGAAAGAACTCTCAAAGAGTGCCTACACAAAATTCCAGAAAATTCAAACTGGTGACAGCTGCAGCTTATAACTCCTTCTTGAGAGGACCAATAAACTTTGCGACCTCCTTCAACTTTTGTGTGATGTCTCACAAGAAACCCGTCTTCCACTGAAAAAGATGCATAATGTGCAGCCAACACGAGTTGTTCTTGAAGCTTTGAAAAGGCAAAAGGAGTGAGGACCGTAGCAGCGTGCGATTCCATGGGAGCTCCTGTTTTGAGGCAAACATTTTGTAGATTCTGCTGCATGGTTTGTTGTTCTCCAGTTTGGTCTTTAAAATCCACAGCAACAGCTACCTGGTTGTGCAAAGCAAACTCAAGTTTCCAGAAATATAAAGATTTAATACCTCCAAAAAGTAGGATACATTCACTATGAATTGTGAATAGTCATTAAAAGTCCAATTTAACAATACTAAAACATAAGAGACAGAAAGATATAATACCTGTTCAACAAAGTGAGCAAGTCGTGTCTGTGCGCTTAAAAACCGTTGAATGAAGGCGTTAATTGACTTTGACTGACCAGTTGTAGTCATTCCCGCAAGAAAATGGCTTCTTAAATATGGCAATGCCCAAAGTGAGCGCGAGCTATATAAATTAAGCATGTGCCGATTGGAATGCAGCCCAAAAGAACAGACCATTTCCCTCCAGCCTAGTTCAAAATCCTCAACTGATTCAAGATTATAAAGTCTATAAAATTCAGCCTTCCACTCATTGTAGCGTTCCCCTAGAACAGCATTGAACCAAGATGGAAACTTTGCTACTATCATCCATATGCAGAAAGCGTGTTTTGTTATCGGCATTTCTGCAGATAGTGCTTCTTTGAGACACATGTTTTGGTCAGTTAATATAGTCTGTGGAGCCTTCCCACTCATAAAACCTAAGAAAGCCTTCCAAGAAAGAGAAAAAAAACAAAAGCCAGTGTAAATTAAAGAATGGTTGAACTGTTAAAAAATCAATGAGAATTTCACAAGACAGTAAAAGTAAGAGATGTAATCATCGACAATTGAAGTATCAAGTCCATTTTATAAGGTTGGAATAAAATAAAAACTAGCACAACCTGCTTGTATATACTTTCAAAGTGTAGGCTACTCAACAAGTAACACTTAGTATATCCTAGAGAGTGTGATATTTTTTATAGCTACACAATCTTTGATAAAAAATTTGTTGTCACTTCACAATTAAGCTATACCGGTATTATTTGGGAAAAGAATGCAAGAGGCCGAAACACAATTTGAATAAAAAACCAAATGATGCAAACAATAATATGTTTTTGATTAACTAACTACCTTTGTTGCCCAGGAAAATGACCTGAGAGTTTCATCTCGCAGCAGCACACAGCCAAAGAAGCAGGGCATTCCATAGTTATTGATTCCAACCCATATCCCCAGCGGCATGTCAAATGCAGTGAGACGATGGGTTGTATCAAATACCACAGCATCCCCAAAGATATCATACAATTGGATGGAAGAGGCATACGACCAGGCAATGTTTTGTAACCGGTTGTTTGCATCAAGTGTGTACTCAAATTTAAAATTAGGATCTTTCTCCTTAATATTCTTGCACATTCTTAACAAATCTAGGGTCTCTTCTTCGGGATCTAATTTTCTAAAGGACTGGAGTAAATTCCTTACGTCCTTTTCAGTAAAAGGCAAATATCCAGGTTCGACGCACTTCTCAAGCTCCATTAGCCTGATCATTTGATGAACAGAAATCCCTGTTTTGGCAAACATAAGAATTCGATTCTTGTCAGCGTCTGATATAGTTCTGTAGGCAGGAAGGAATCGAACTTGGTTAGGTTCCAAAAGGTCGTGATTATGATGATTGGCAAAACCAGTGACCCGCCACTCAGGAGGTCCAAATTCGGTGGTTTTGCTTATCCTCAAATAAGCCTGACAAGCACATCGAGAAGATTTTCTATTTCTCTGAGGCTTAGTTTCATTTGATGATTTAGCAGGAGTATTGCCAGCACGATGACAAACAAAGTATCGTCTAGTAAGTCCTTTCCCAACACCGTCTTTTCCCTCAGTTCGGTGACGCCTAATTGAGAAGCCACAGGTCTTGGCGAAATGGCTATAGAATACATAAGCAGAATCATGAGTGGGAAACCTCTGACCAATGTATGGAATGTGATCATTAGTTGGTTCCAAGGAGAGGGTGGTTTCAGCAGGTGACTCTTCCGTGCTGCTTGTATCTCCCAAAGACAGGGAGTGTTGGTCAGAGGGATCGTCGTAAACTACCAACATGGATCCAGCCTCTTCAGACATTATATGTTTTTCACACTAATTTACTAGGGAAACAGAGTCAACAACAATTATCTGCAGCAAAATAAATAACTATCATGGTTAATCACATTTATGAGTAAGGAAATCAAGGAATAAGCAATAAATTGAATAGTTATCAGATTAATAGGTTAAAGAAGGGGGGAAATGGTACCTTGGAGTGAATGGAAAGCAAAATGTGGAGGGAAACCCTAACACCACCACGCTCTCTTACGCAGGAACAAAACGATCTATTATTGGGTTTTAGTTTCGCCAGGAAAAAAAAAATATATGCATTTCAACTTCTTCCTCGCCAAACATCAAATAAACATCGACTTCTCATTTTGCTACTCAACCAAACACTCGTTTTAATCTATCGAAATTAGAATATTAGGGTCCCTTTGGTTGGGAGGAGAGGGGAGAGAATATTTGTAAATATTTTTGTTTGGTTCATTTTTTATAAGGAGACAAAAGAGGAGTAAAATCCCTCATAGACTCATTTATTTATGTATTTATTAATAAGAAGGATATAGCCTTAGATGACAAAAGATCAAAAATATCTCAAATATCTCATTTCTCTCTTGCTATCTTCGATATTTTTTTGCATTCATTCACAAAGTTCTCACATTACCTCACACTCACTCACATCATTTGCATCCTACTTTTTTTTTTACACATTCACTAGAAGACAAAAATACCTATAAATATATATTAATAATTGGATTCAACTCCAAAAAGTTTGCTCTAATTCATAATTGAATTTAAACAACTTATACTTCTTTTAGAATCAAGATAATTTATAATCTTTTCTAGAACTTGTGCTCATAAACTAATGGTCCAACAAAAACTCCTTTGTGGATTTGGTTCATATTTCATTCTCATAAATATATGTATTTACTGATGCTTGAATTTCTTTAAGTTCTACATCACTTTCACTGGCTCCTTTAAATACATAATGTATCTAATGAAAGACTTCAGTTTTATCGACAAAATAATTTTGTCCCATAACGTGTTATAGAATATGTGTCTCTTATTTCCGTTGGGATACATCGGTAAATACATCTTCATCTTGATTATAATCAAGTTTACTTAATGAACTTTACAACCCAGATGATCATAAAGACAAACTAGATACTCTTACCTCCTCTAGCGGTAGAAATATTGAGACTAAGCCATTGAATTGACTTAACTTGCACAGATCAAATAAAAATCGCTATCGCAGTTTATTGTTTTCAGAGAAAAGAGAGAATAACCCAAAAAGAGGGGGAGAGAATCTAAGTTCGGGGAATGGTTATGCAAAGGAAAAGTATTAGCACTCTAAACATCTACGGTAATCCACAGGAACCTCTTTGAAGATTTGTGTATTTTGGTTATAAGTGTTGTATACAAAAATAGATTGTGGAGATGAGAAAAGAAGTGTTTTTTACAATTTTTGTACCCGCCATGGTTGTGAACCTTTAGTGCCTACGTACCACCTTCCATGCAATACGGGATCAGGGTACTCGTAGTTCACCTTTAAAAATTTAAAACACAAGTGTATTGGTTAATTTTAAGAGACGAGACATCATCGTCGTATCCGAGTGGAAGAACATACTTACTACCCATAATTATGAGAAAAGATAATTTACGTCATCTCAAAGTGGAGGATATAGCTTGATTTTAAAATCAACAAAGCCTCACTCAACACCTAAGTGGAAAATATCCCACTTCACTATATATCATAGAAGTATAGTAACTCACATCACTACAAGGATTGACAAGATTCTAATCTTTTGAGAAAAATTTAAAGTAAAAGAGTCAAAGTGGCAAAATGGTTTGAATGAGATTGATTGACTTTTAATCATCTCACAAAAATGTCAAGGTATTAATAAGTTGATTAAAGTTTGATTAAGAAAATATTTTGAAAAATGCATGGATCTAAGTCCAAGTTTATTGTGAAAGCGGTTCAAGTTGGAAACAAGAAGAGTTTTCAAAAGGATGGAGAAGATTTTTGAAATTAAAGAAGGTAGGAGGAGATGAAGGGACTATCCTAAAGCATAAAGTAAAAGCTAGAAAAAAATTGTCTAACCAACAAGAAGCCAACACTTGACACAATGAGTCAATATAGAATTCTCATCCTTTAGATTGAAACCAAACGAGCAAAGATAATAAACCTCTTAAGAAAACCAAGCTTCAAAAAAATTAAGTCTTCATAAAAATTGGACAGAGTAACGGCTGTATACAGATGAATTCCTGATCACAGACAAAGCATGTAATCAAAACAACCCGCACACAAACCAAACAAACAACCCAATGTCTTGGGGCAAACCCCAATAATTCCATACAAAATAACAGTTAAAGTCGCAAGGTCTCAAGGTAGGTCAAGGTCACTAATCCTAAGTCCAAGAAGTCCATAACTCCAAAATGCCAAGGATAGTAACCAAATAGTCCAAGTAACATTAAATTTTTATGGTTCAAGTTGATTATTAGGTATCTTAAACAAGAAATGAAAAGTTCAAGTGAGCAAAGATGAAAATAGCATGAAATGAAAATGCTAAAATAAATGTGCTTAAAGTAAACAACATAAAGTAAAAGCATAAAAAAATCAATTATTAGAAATTAGAGGTTAGTTGAATAACCATCTTGAAACTTGCATTTGAAAACTCATTAGAAGATTGATAAAATCAAAGCCTCTTAACAACAAGTTTCATTTGCTTTTTGTCATGTATATCATTCATTTCAAAATCTCAAGACAATAATAAATTATCAACGATGTTTAAATGATTCACTTAGTTCCAAAATTTATGATGATTCATTAGAGAATTCATAAGACCAGAGCCTCCTAACAATGAATCTCAAGGTTATTGGATCAAAGATTTCAAATTAAACATGCTTGGGCTTACAAACACGAGTTTGGGCCACAAATGATCATTTCTCGAATCGGGACAAAATTTAACGCTATGTTAAGCAATCGTAAGTGGACTTATATAGAAGTCACACTTATTTTGAGGCCGGTCAATAGCAATTTATGTGCCATATGTTTGGAGTGATGATATGTAAATCATCCTATAACAACATGTAGCACAAATAAGAAAATGATAAGATGAAGAGGGAGAAGATATATTAGATGAAATTAGGGTTTCAAATATCATCAACATCATTCATCCATTTTGACGGATTTGGTTTTTAAACCTATCGACACCCAAGATCCAATGAGGTTAAAAAATTTATCCCAGAATAAGACCCAAGTAAGTAGCAAATGTATTTCCAAAAGTTAAACAAAAATTATGCACATGAGTTCTCAAACACAAACCTTCATCAAAAGCAAAACCCCAAGTATCCTTCCAAAATAAAAATTAGGTTTAAAATAGGAAAATAATTTGTAAGAAATTGTCAACTTAATTCTAAACTCCTAAAGGTTTCTAAAAGTCAGAGGCATGGCCAAAATTCATGAGAGAGGAGGAAATATGTTTTTGAAACTCAAGCATCAAAACTAGCTAGTCAAAGACTAAAACTAGGCATGTTTTACAAAATACTTTGAATAAAATAGAAGATTAAATTTAAAAAATTTGAAAAAAATTTTTTTAACGATCTTGACTCATCCAGGAACTTTGAACAATTTTTTTTATATTTTTAGAAATGAGAAAAATTAGGGAATTAATTGTTTCTTCATGCCTAAGTAAGAAAAGGTCTCAAAAACAACAATTAACTTCTAAATTTTGAAAAAAATAAGCAAACTGATATATAGAACTAATTAAAAATCATAGAAAATTAGTTCAATACCTAAGGATTAGTGAGTATATTTTTCTTGAATTTTATTCCAAAATAAAGAATTAAACTAAAATTATTTACACAATATATATAAAAAAAAAGTGATATAACCAAACAAATGATTTAATTTAAATCCCACAAATTTTGTAAAATTGAACAATAATCATTTTTCAATAAGAAGACTCAGAAGAATACTTAAAAAACATTTTTTTAGGATTTTTTGATTTAGTAGAAATAGAAAAATAAAATTCTAAAACTTATAGAATGATGAAAAACCCTAATTAAACTAGTTGAATTTATTTAATCAAAAAAAGAAGAAAAAAAGGCCATGAAATAAAAAAGAAAATGAAAGTATAGTGAAAATAGAGTTTAAAATATTTTTGTGGTGATTTTTTAGTTAAGAAAAATATTTGAACAAAATTAGAGAAAACAAAGAAAATTAAAATATATTTAAAGTGTATTACACATGTTATTAGTATAAAGCACTGTAAAAAAACAATTAGAACATGTTCAATAAAAAAATGCCACGTAGTCATCCCTACCATGTGAACCAGCCCTAACATTCTATTTTTGCAGTTTTAAAACAAGATGTTCAGATCATCATATCTCACGCATTTCTCCATGAAAAACCAAGATGTAAACATCAAACTTCAATATGAAAATGAGTAGAACATAATAGAATCAAAAAAATTATCAAAATATGCATGGACCATAGAGAAAAATGCCACGCGAATATTGTTGTATGAACAAGATTTTGAGTTGACAAATTCAACAAACAATTTTCTGACTTAGTTTTCTAATTCAATTCTCAACCATATCCCTTGATCCAAACATCAAAGTTCATCCTCTCAATGCATAGAACAACAAAACGTGCATGGATTCATCAAACAATGCCACATCTGATCATAAATTAAACACAAAAACAGTTGCATGAACAGAACTTTGAGCAACCTCATGGAATAAGAATCAAGCAACGAATACACACATGTTTATACTTCAGATGTATGATCTGGCCAGCTAAAAACAAACATGAACAAAGTCAAATGCATGATTCGAGCTAGCATGAGAGGAAATTGGATTTTAAAGTTTACCTCAATGAGTGAAAAATAAATTCACTCAATGCCTCTGTTTTAAAGTAGAAAACCAATGTAACTTCTTCTTCAAGCTTCAAAAATAGCATAATGAGCAAGAAGAATAGATTTGAGCAAGAGACTCTTGGAGAAAATGAAGAAAAATTATGTGTTTTAAGAGAGAGA